TTTAGAAAACAATGTACAGTTGAAAAGAAAAGAGAAAAAAATGAAAATCAAACATACAATATTAAGTTTCAAATAAATAAATTATCACTCTACATTTAACGTTGGTGAAATAACTTAATATATCAAAAAACTAGCACGCAGCAGCCCACTAATTATTTAGCACTTGTTTGGATGCAATTTTTTGCAAAAAAATCGATTTTACCGTCAACTCACTGCTAGTTGTGGCAAACGGTTCGTCGGCTCGGCTCATGAAAAGTCGGCTCGTGGGCAGCTCGGGCTCGTCATTTACACGAGCCAAGCAGGCTCGCTCGCTCGTGGGCTCGTCCAAGGTGGGGGGTATATCTTTTTTTTAAAAAAAAAAGTTTATTTGAAAAAAATTGACGAGCTCGCAAGCTAAAGCTCGGCTGCGCTCGGCTCACGAGCTCATGGGCCAGCTCGAGTAACGAGCCTAGCAGAAGCTCATAACGAGCCATGAGCTCGGCTTGTGACAAGCACGAGCCAAGCTTGTGTGCATACGAGTTCAGCCCATTACCACCTCTACTCACCGTCCTCACATGTGTTTGAGATAAAGCTACTGTTGCGCCAATTTGATTAAAGTACAGACTTTCAAATATCCATTCTACATATTTGCGCAACTGCGTGTGAATCAATAGATGAGGGAAGGAAATGAATTGAGGGCAAAATTGATAATTGTCCCTAACAATGAATAATGGGTATAGTAAATTGTCTAAAATGAGTCAGATATTATGAAATAAACTAATGATTATTCCTTATTACCTTTATTTATTTTTTATTTTGCTTTTAATTCGAATTTTAATGTCCCAAGGGCTTACTTTTGTAATCAATTTTTTTTTTAATAAAAAGTGAAAAAGCAAACTCCATTTGTCAACTAAGTCTAACACAATGATACATCATTCGATTCGGGTGACATGGATTCCCGAAAAATATCTAATTAGCTGGCTAAACTTTAAATGTATAAAGTTTGTCATGCAAAAATTCGAATACCAGCCGACCAAGCTAAAGAATATGACAATCATCGAGTCGTAAGATTCCATTTGAGCCGTAAGTCTTGGATCATCGCTGAACTAAAGGACACACCTTGACCTGCAACATTAAACCAAAGGACACATCTAATAATCAAAATCTGTCTATCCTCTGCCTGAAGTTCAATTTAGCCCTGTTTATCTATCATTATTCAACGAAAGTAACTTTTGGAATAATGAATTTTAAGAGAATATACTGTTAAAAAATAGGAAAACAATTCTTGATTTTTGTGTAAAATATTGAGATCCGCTGTCCAAAATTGACTGTCCAACTTGTTATCCACCAATGATTCATCGACATATAATTTTACACTTATTTTTAAGCACAAGTGACAGTAAAAAAAAGTTGAACACGTTAATTTAAAGTTACGTGTCAATAAATTATTGAAAGACAATCAATTTTGAACAACTATCTCAACTCAAAACAAAATCACTTGCAGAGGCCCACTGCTTTTGCTCTTCAAAACCCCGTGCTCTGCTCACTTATGTTTTTCACTTTTTCTAGGTATATTCGTTCACTTGACTTTGTGGTGGTGTTTGTATTTGCTTTGTATTTTTATAGTCTAGGATAAATTTTACATAGGTGAAATACAAAAAATATAAATTAATATATAAATATTTGATATATTCCTCTTTTTAATGTTAATCTTTTAAGATGTAATTTCAAATCTTGATATGGTATCAAAATTTATTACGTTTAAACGAGCAATTCGATCTGACTAAAACGAGTACACGAAATTCAAAAAATTTATACTCAAATGAGCTAACATCTTGCGGGTACATGTACATGAACCAACATGTAAAGACTTGTTACTCCACTTAAGGGCGGCCTTTTAAAATGAAATTTCAATAAAAAAAAAAAAACAAGAATTTACTGACAATGCTAGTAGAGTATGCTAGATCCAAACATTGACAGACAACATAAGAGGTAATAAATAGAATTTAACATTGGTCGTGTCTGAAACGGTAGGTGTAGTATTATAATGGCTGTAAGATATATAATTATTATTGTATTTATTATAAGTTAGGTACATAATGAATTGCTCGAGTAAATACCATATTTAAAGCATAAATAAATGTTTTACCAAATTATAAAGCAATGCCGAGTTATGTTCCCTTGAAAAAAAAAAAGAGAAAAAGGTGGCATATTCGTCTTTCACCTGAGTAGAAATATTTTGAAACATGGACATAAACTTATTTACTTACAAGTAAATTTACGAATTTCATGTCAATTTTTTTCCCTTTTATTCGCATTAATAATCACCCCATAAATTTTATTAATTTTACATGGGAGAATAAATTCCCATAATTAATTTAATTTCAGTATTAATCCACCCAACTAGCACCTAATAGAACAAAATTAATCTTTGGCCGATTTATTATGGCGTATCAAACATACCTTAAAGGTTCTTAACTGAAGTACCTTACGAAGATTATCAGAATAATAAAAAGTACCAACTCTTATTTTTAATCAATTATAATTAAGTACACAAAGTACATTTGTATCACTTTGTTTGATTAATGGTTCGAGATAATTAACTAGGTATTCGGCGACGCTTAACTTTTTTAGGTGGTTAACATAAACAATACCATTAGAATTATGCTCCTCTGCCAGGCATTTACAGGCCTGGCAAAGCTGAGCCTCTCACATGAGGCGGGTCCCCTCATTAAAAAATACCCCACCCCACCCCACCCCACCCCTATTTGTGTGTGTTCTGTAGGGGTTCACAGAACCCCTACCTGTACACCAAGCAAAACTCATACCATTAACATCTCACCGGATGTGACATTATGTACAACCTATATAAAATTTCGTCTAGTTTTATTTTGAAGAAAATCAAATTTACTTTTAAGTTACTACATTTTCTTCTTAACAAATTCCATTTACGAGAAAAAAACGTAACTTTTAAATATAGTCAAACGCGATGGTCAAGTCAAGTAAAAACATTAACTCGAAGAAAGTTTTGCAGTCAAAAGGATAAATATTATGAGAGTAGATGGGCCTTGTTCAAAAATTGTAGGAGAAATAAATCTCATTTACTATTTGTTAGGTGTATAAATGAAATGCATTCTATTAAATGCCGTAATTTGGCGCATCAATAGACCACAGAACATTTACTTCTGTTTTAGGTGAATTGCTCTTATCTCCCATTTAATGCATTGCACCCAAATCCAAGAGGTTACGTGAAAATGTGACTTCGTTTTCTGATGGTCAAAGATTACACCTTAAGCTGCAGTTGGGTCGTCACATGCAGTCGTAATTACACCTAATTGTACGTTTCTGGCAAGGAAGATCTATAGCACTCCACATCATTGAGAAAGGAAAAAAAAAACCTATAAAATTATTTAATCTAATTCATTACTTCATACAAATATGCAAGAATTAAGCTAACAACTAGTTTGACACCTTTTGAGGTGTCAATATCGAGACCATTGATTTGAATAAGTGTTATTGAAAGCAATGATAAAACCATATGTCGTGTCAAAGAGTGTAAACAAAGCTGTTAATCACTGTGTAAGTGTAGCAAAACTAAATTTGCAGAGTTGAATATTTCTTTTAAGTTCTCAGCATACAAAACAGCTTCAAGTAAAATAGCTTCAAGTACGAGTGGGAATGGATCGGGCTCGGACCCAACTCGACACCGAATCGACAATTCGAATTGGATGAATTTCGACTCGTAATTGAATCGACAAAAAGAATAAATCGACCTAAATTAGTTCGGATTGATTTAGTTTATTGAATTTAAAATAATTTTTCTCTTGAACATCAATTTTTTAAACCCCATCTTACAAATCGAGGTTTCGGGCGGATCGAAGTCAACCCAAAATAGAGCACTTAGCCGGAGATAACATTTACAACTACACCACCAACGGAGCCCAGTGAAAAATCTGCTGTTGAATTCGTTAGTCCGTTTTGGGGGCTAAAAATTCAAACAGCATTACACTTTGCACAATATTTTTCATTGACCACTAAAATTTAAAAATATTTTAGATGGCCGTCAAACTAATCGAATTGTTACCACGTCCATAAAACAATAACTCACCGTTTGGACATTGACGTACTCAATGGCGCTGCAAATTGAAATGCTGATATGACACATTATTATCGTTAGTTGATAACAAATTAGCAAAAAATGCTATTATAAAAATACAATTAAAGGGAAAAAGTAATAAAAAATAATACTGAATGAAAATACAAATAAAAGAAACACATGCAAATGATTGTAAGTCAATTGCATTTTTATAAGTTCTTTTAATAGATGAAAGCATTTTCGGCTGATTTGTCGGTGTTTGAATCACATTATTTTGGAAAAATGAATTTTGGAATAGTAGATTAATGGAGAATGTGTGGCTAAAAAAGAAGAAGTTATTCATGTGATAGAAAATATTATTTTATTGAAGAATGCGTGGTTAAAAATGAGTAGAAAAATGAGAATAAAAATTTTAATGTGCCTCAAACAAAGGCAAAGTGCCGTTTAACGTTTTCATTAGTCACGTCAGCGAGTCCGTTATTTTTTCAAATGATGAGTTATTGAGTAATGGATGGATAATATTTTAATTGACCATCTGAATTTTTTATTTTTTATTTTTTAATTTAATAACCAATGGGAAACATGGTGAAAAGTTGAATGCTCATTCGGATTTTTAACCCTCATTTTTCTCATTGTCCAATGGATTCACTATCGCCGCTTTACACAAGTAGTGCAGTGCATAACTTTACTTTTCTTTCTTTTTGTTTTATTTAAGATGAGGAGACGGAAAACACATAAAAGACAAATGAACAAGCCACTACAATCAGCAAACAATAAATGGATGAGAGAAAAAGCAAAGAAAATGCATTTAACTTCATATTATCTAAGAAGAAAGCCCAATTTAAATGTATATACACCGTTGCTTCACTTACGAAACTACTATCTTTACAAAGAATCAAAACCATTTAATGGCTCCCAACGTATTTTAAATAGATATGTTAAGATCAATTCGAGGTTTCTTGACTGCCACGGGCGAAGGAACAACACCGTTGCATCGTGGGCATTTTGGGTTGCTCTTTGATATAAGCACATAAATTAGACAACTGGGACAACCAGCAGCCAACGAGCAGGATGACTTCTCTTCATGATCAATATCACTATCTTTAACCGAGGACGAAGAATTTGAAGGCGGTGTTGACGATTTCGACATTGATATTGAGCGCTTCCTAAACTGTTCTTTCTCTGCCCTCTCAAGTGCGGACTTCACTTTGTCTAGAGTGCATACACTTTGATAATTGGACGATGAAGGCGATGAGGTAGTTGATGGAACCAGCTTTAAGCCTAAACCGGCATCATCAAAAAGATTTAATGGCTCATTTGATGCCGGAGGGAAGTTGAGATCTTGAAACTTTGCTACTGATTTCACCTTTTGCTGCTTATTCTCTGAAGTCGACGAGGATGAGTTTGAAGAATTACATCTCTGGATATAGACTTTGCCCGACTGAAATCAAGAATCACAAATCAATGTGAGACTGCATATTCATACAACAAAGCACAAATAATAATGTTATTCAGAAACTCTTCCCTACATTGTCAAGTTCTTGCACATTTCCAGCTTTCGATTGATTATAAAAAAAAATCGATTTTAGACTCACTCATTTGCTTATGAGTACAGTTATAATCTTAGCCAAACATGCTTAGAAAGAATCCATTGATTAATTTTCTGCAGTAGAAATGCAACGTGGGATTATGTTTTCCAAATCTACCAGAAGAATGTATAAACCAAATTATATATTTCAACTTTCAACAGTGGATAGAAACTGGCAAACTGCTGACTCCTTAAGAAATAACTGATATAAATACTAATTTATTGCAGATTACAGAGAATAATAGAACTGAATTTGCAAGTAATTTGTTAAAATTAATCATCATCCCAAGCACCCAATTACCTT